AAAGTAATGCATTACAATATTGCGTTACTCCATAAAAAAAGTAACTAATTACGGTACTTAGTTACTTTTTATGAAAAGTAATGCGTTACGTTACTTTTGCGTTACTTTTAAAATCTGGACAGGGCTTGCTTGTTTGCTTTTAAAATAAAAAAGTTCTATTTTTGGCAAATATAAAAGCCTTTTCACATCAAACGTGAAATGAATAAGCCTCAGGCTGAAGGGAAAGTACATTTACATCCGTACAGTAGAATGCAGAAGAAGACATTTCAACACTTCAGCAATAAACAAAGACACAAATGTTTGTCTAGAGTAATTTGTGCTTATTAGTGTTGAACTGGATCATCGAAGACATTGGTTAATAGAATGGGATTAAATACATAAAGCATATTTGTGTTGTTTAACATTTAATTATTGCAGGTTTGTGTCATATTCTGAGTTGCATTATTTTCATTTTGAGGAATACTGAATCTGTTTTTTGTGTGTGAGTGAGATGAATTAATGCATATTCATATTTATTTTAGAACTACAGTAACATCTTCTGATTTCTCTCAGCATGGGGACAGGAGAGCTGTCAGTTAATAAATTGAAAAAAAAAAAAGTAACTTGAGTTAAAGTAACTCTTGTAAATTAAAAAGTAATGCGTTACTTTACTAGTTACTTGGAAAAGTAATCTGATTACGTAACTCGCATTACTTGTAATGCGTTACCCCCAACACTGCCTATAGCCTACTAACAAAATGAGTTTCTTCATGCTTTTGCATTTCTATTGCGCTTTAGTTTTGGATATCCAGTGTCACTTGTTAGGATTCCTTTTCAGAAACACAGTTTCGCTATTAAAATGCTAATTTCTGGATATTAAGTTACAAAATGTAATAATTCTGTTTGCTAAAATATTTTCGTAATATTAAAAGCCATGCAGCACAGCATATTTCACTAATGAGTTGAACTAATGAGCTTATCAGATAAAATGCTGATTACCATGGCAGGTTTAATCACATAATTAGTCATTTGTTACAGTATAGTGCCTTTTTATGATTAAGAAGTGAGTCATACTGAAGACCAGCTTGTAATTATTATGGATTATTTCACAGAGGAGCTTACACACTGTTATTGTTCTTAAAGTATTTATGATTGTATTGTATTATTGTTTAAATATGTAATGCAATTTGGACGCTGTGGTATGAAATGCTGTTCACTGAGATCAAATGTCCTGCATACAGGTCTTCAGATTTCCACATAAAATTGTTGGAAAAGATAAATAGCAAGATGCACTTTTTCTATAAGGATAAACATACGTCTTCTGAAAAAAAAAAGATACTTTTTTTTTTTTTAAGTTGAGTATAAACACACTGGCATGCGTAGGGTATGAAAAGTAGGTTCAAAAGTCCTATGTAAAGTATTTTTTAAAAATCTTCTGTCTTTATTTTCTCTGTAAATCTGAAAGTGGGTCTTGAAATTTGATCAACATTTTTTAGAAGCATGCATGCACTATTTTTAATATTGATCTTTGTGCATATCATATCCATTGGTAGTCTCATGATGTGCACCATCATTAAATGCTTAACCCTGGAAAGGATCTATTTCCTAAGAACCAACGTTTCTGCTTTCTGAATACTGATTATTAGACACAAAAAGAAAACAAAAACATGTTTTAGAGGAAATATTACTAATTAGGTTTACTAATAGAAATATTAAATGTAAATTGTTAACCAATGTGATCAGTAAAGCTTCAGTGTATAAGCTGACCATATAAGGTGTGCTGACGCATATCATTTCCCTCTGTGGCTCTTTCCTGATTAAGGTCTGTTTCAGGATCAGATCCAGATCAATGCAGACATGGCTACTGGTTTCTCAGGTTGGATTGATGAAGGTGGACACTTGAAAAATCATCAAAGGCACGGTGATCTGTGAGTTTAGATTCGGCCACCAGCAGCCAATAAATCACAGCTTCAAAGCAGACAATCTGTCTGGAGTCGTCGAGGTACAACCTCCAGCTGCTCTTGCTCTTGCAGTTTGTCTGACTTGTATGAATTCTTTCAGTCATCACTGTCTGACTTAGTTTGTCTGAAGCAACAAATTAGAAAGTACTGGTATAGAACACTTTTTTTTTGGTGCAGGAAACCAGCAAAACCCATCTCTTCCCCACACTCCTCCTCACAATACTCACATGACTGTCAAGATAGCATCTTATCAAATGTTTTGGCACTTTTATATGGAACTTTTTGTCTGTTTCAAAAATATATTTTCTGAGATGACAACCTGAAATTAACCACAACTAAAAACAAAACAGGGAAGTAACCAGCTAAATTGTTATGCATGGATTTCCATAGAATGCATTTCAGTGATGCAATAACACCCACCAAATGTGAGTGTATTGTGTGACTGCATCGCATCTTGTCGGTGTCTCTGACTAGTCCAGTTCTAACCAGATGGGGTTTATAAATAAAGTCATTGCAGTGCAGCTGATGGCTCTCTTTGTGGTAGTGGACAGAGTTCAAATAAGGTGCTGGTATGTTTAAGTCTACATAATGTTGTTAAAGGGGGCATAACACACACAGTTTCACCCAGTCTCATGTTAATCTTGAGTAACTATAGAATAGTACTTCATCCTTCATATCTCCAACAAGTCTTTAGTTTTATCATAATTATAAAAGAAAGATACAGCTTTACGATTCTCTCCAGAAAAAGCCGAGCTCCTGGAGGCGTGCCGTGGGTGGAGCTAAAGAGTGACGAGCACTTGGGCGCCGAACGCCAACAAAACACACGTTTGATGCCTTTTCACTTATGCCGAGTTCACACTGCACGATTTTAGCCCGATTTTTCACTCGCCGACAGGTTTTGCGAAATCAATGACAAATGCCCGAAATCAGAGGAAAATCGGTGCTCGTTCACGCGAGTGACAATCACGCAGTGTGAATTATCAAAGACGCGATCTGGGAATCGCCGACACGTCGCCGACGCCCGTGAAATATTTGGCATGCTGAATATCTGGAGCTGCCGGAGATTCACAATCACGCTGTGTGCAATGAGTTCTGACTGAAAAAACACATCGGCGATGACCTACAGCCAATGAGAGACCAAGATACAGGGCAGCGGGAAGTTCAGGGAGGCGTTATATGAAACGTAGTTTGCGGACCAGTGTTGCCAAATCCGTGATTGCCGCCGGTTGTTTTTTATGTCAGCAGGTTGAAGCGACCCCAATAATGTGATATTTCGGCCCTGGAATGTGAATTGTACCAGGAGAACCCACCAAAAAAATATTTATTTTACCTCCCGAACGCGATTTTTACTGGGGGACCCCCTCGAACGCAATTTCAGCACCAGACAGAGCTGTCGGCGATTCTTCCTATTGTGAAGTCATGCAGTGTGAAACCCCCTGTCGACGATCCATCGTGCAGTGTGAACACAGCAGCAACTGAATGCTACCCCAGATAGTCATGCAGTGTGAAAACAACGGCGATCCGA